CAGCATAGTAGGACCTTTGTTTTTCAATGTGTACATAAATGATCTATCAACTGTTATTGATCACCCTATCATAATGTTTGCCGATGATAGTACTGCCATAATCAAATGTGATGACATCCTCACTTACGAACAAAAAATAAATGTAGCTCTGAAAAATGTTAATGACTGGTTAAAATTAAACAACCTAATACTTAATACTAATAAAACAAAAATAATGCATTTTAGGCAAAAAACTCACAAACCGAATGTAACTTTAGATATTAATAATGACATAATTGAATCCGTCTCTGACATTAAATTTCTAGGTGTACAAATTGACTATCAAATGAATTGGAAATCTCATACTGAGATGCTTTGCAAAAGGTTATGTTCCTCTGCTTACGTCATGTTCAAGCTTTCTAAGATAGCAAACACCAAGACCGTCGTAATGGCCTATCATGGATGTATAGAATCCATATTACGCTATGGGTTAATATTCTGGGGCAATTCTACAAATAAAACAATGGTCTTTAAAGCACAAAAAAGATGCATCAGGGCTATTAAGGGTTTAAAGTCTACTGATAGTTGTGAGGAGGTCTTTAAGCAGTTGAAAATTTTGACATTACCTTCCTTATATATTTATGAAGTTGCAGTGTTCGTCAAAAATAACTTCCATATGTTTCCTACATTTATAGAACAGAATTCGCATAGGAACTATAGACGAGGGATAGGGAATACATTATGTGCAATGGAACGTAAAACTGCACTATTTAGCAATAGTGTCTTTGGGATGGCTACTACAATTTTTAACAAAATACCCAATAATATAAAGAGTTTGCCAATGACTATGTTTAAGAAACGCTTAATGAAACTATTAATTGACAAAGTATACTATAATACACAAGAGTTCCTTAGTGACACTTCCTTGAAAAAAATGGACATAATTACGTAATTAACTTATATTTTAGTCTATTATAGCACAATTTATTATTATTATTAGTTTGACATATTGCTTAGTAATTTTGACATTTAATTCTATCTATGACTTGTTTTATTGTAATTGTAATTTATTAATATGGATTTTTATATAATTGTAAACCTAATTATTTCATAAAAAATATTGTATACCTTGTAATAAGGTCGAAATGTAGTGACACTAAACTTTTATCCTAACACCAATTTGCTGTACTAACCTACATTTCACAATAAAGCATTTGAATTTGAATTTGAATTTGAATTTATGATATGGAAACCCTAAATCTTCAAGGGACAGAATTTTACTTCAAAATATTACTCAAGTGACTGTAAAAACCATGATTCCTTTGCTTTTTCTAAATAAAAAAACCAAATGTCAATTTGACAATCCTAAAATACAAACAAAAAAATCATTCGCATTTCGCATCCGCTCCCGCGTACTGTGATTATGAATGTTCTCTGCTGTGATTGCCCTTTTATCCGTTATTTCTCTTGACGACCCGGCTACATATAGAGGTTATATTGACAAACCTACTTATTTGACATTGACAGCTAGCTGCTGATGACAAATATTGCCAGACTACGTTACCCAATTATGAAACACAGATAAAAAAATTAAAAAAGTATACAACTTTGGCACAAAATGCCGGGTGTCCTTTTTGGTGGAAAGATACGGTTATTGTTTGTGTTACATCAGTATTAAATAAAATAAATAGTATGACTCTTTAATGATGTTCTATTTTCTAATCTATATATATAAAACTCAAAGGTGACTGACTGACATAGTGATCTATCAACGCACAGCCCAAACCACTGGACGGATCGGGCTGAAATTTGGCATGCAGGTAGATGTCATGACGTAGGCATCCGCTAAGAAAGGATTTTGATCAATTCTACCCCCAAGGGGATAAAATAGGGAATGAAAGTTTGTATGAAACTTTGTCAATTTTAAACCGATCGGGCTGACTTTGCATGCTGGTATAAGAAGAATTATAGATGAACCTCATTGTGTATAATACAAGCCTGTGAACAAAAACTGTGGTCTACACTTCAGCTCTACACCGAAGCGAAGCGAGGCCGGGCCGCTAGTATTGAATAAATTGGCGCACTGTTTAAATAAATGTCGACCGCCGTGGCCGAGTGGTTTGTACGCCGGGTTTCATGGTGCCGCCTACTCGAGAGGTCCCGGGTTCGAATCCCGGTGGGGGCAGATGTTTGTGTGATGAATACGAGCATTTGTACCTTAGTCATGGATGTTTATAAATATCTAATATATAAAATTCTCGTGTCGCGGTGTTTGTGGTTAAACTCCGAAACGGCTTTCCCGATTCTCATGAAATTTTGTGTGCATATTGGGTAGGTCTGAGAATCGGACATCTATTTTTCATCGCCCTAAATGTTAAGGGTAATCCACCCCTAAATTTTTTTTTCTAATTTTAGATATATATATATATTTTTAATTTTTTAATGATACATCATACAAAAATACATACATCCCTAAATTTTCAACTTTCTACCACCAACCCCTATTTTTTTATGGCGGTACGAAGTTCGCTGGGTCAGCTAGTTTCTATATAAAGAAATATACTTATACAGGGTGTAAAAAATCCTTTAACGAAGTCGAAGGCCACGTACTTTCTACATTATGACGATCATTTTTTTCTTCTGGACTATACCTAGGAAATTTATGATTATGGAGATATTGACAAGATTTTTACATTAATATTTTCAAAAAGGTTATTTAGAAACTGTTTTATCGACGCACTTACAACGCACACACATACACACAGGCACATTCTTTGTGTAGCGCTACAGTAGCGAGGCGCGCTATACATTGCGTACTGGAAAAAAAAAGTATTTTTTTACTTAAAAATACAAATGATTCCCACGTTAATATATATTTTGTAATATTACTTGTTTGGGTGTACAGAATGCGTAGTTTAAGCCTTTGTCATAGGTTTTTTTACACCCTGTTTAGTATTAAATATAGGTATGTATTCTATGCGTTTATGTTCTTTATTCACCCACCAATTCGCACTGGGCCCGCATGGTGGGTCATGGCCCAATCTCCCTGTTCCATCCATAGGGAAGGCCTGTGCCCCAGCAGTGGGGACATTAATAGGCTGACGATGATGATGATTCTATGCGTTACCCTAGTATCCCATAACACAAGCCTTACAGTGCTTACTTTGGGGCTAGGCTAATAGGGATGATGACTAATTTTTTTTTCTTCCTTTATCAGGTAGATTATCAAAAAGTATTGGACACGTATTTTTTCTTTTTCACATAATATAAACATTGCAGAGATATATTGATTTGAAAAGTCGCATGACGTCACGTTTGAGTACACGTATAAGTGAAAATTCACTCAAAAGTGACGTCACGAGCCCCTGCTCCTAAACTTTGACGCGCTATAACTTTGTCATTTTTTGGTTGATTGCCCAAAGAAAAAATACGTGTCCATTATTTTTTGATCATCTAACTGACGGACTAAATAGAATTTCGTTTACTGTACCCCGTCATCACCCCTATTGGTGTGAGTGTTTGAAATATTTATTTATTTATTTATCTTATACTAACAATGATATAAAACCCTTCGTGTGTAAAATTGATTCGCACTTGGCGGGTTTTACTCGGATTGTTTTTGAGAACAAACAACAGTGCTTCAAGTTCATTACAAGCAATTTTAAATATTAAGTATAGATAGAATTGTGGATTCTTTAATTAGCAATGATTGCTACCGTGTTGTAACGATAATTTTTATTATTAACGACTTGATACAAAACACAATTAACCGTTGCTAACTACTATTACGTAATAAGTGAAGTGGCTATGTATAGTCTTCTAGTCAGGTAAGATCCTTGAGGACTACAAGCCGCTACAGATAAAAGTGTCCAATCTAAAATTTTGGTTTTAAAATCCGAAAAAAAATCTATTAAACCCACTTTTTCCATATCATTGAACGACCTCCGTGGCCGTGTGATTTGTACGCCGGGTTTCATGGTGTCGCCCACTCGAGAGGTCCCGTGTTCGAATCCCGGTGGGGGCAGATGTTTGTGTGATGCATACGAGCATTTGTACTCCAGTCATGTTTAATAAGTATTTCTATATAAATGCTTATACATTTATAGTACCTATATGTATTCTATCCGTTACCCTAGCATCCCATAACACAAGCCTTACAGTGCTTACTATGGGGCTAGGCTAATTGGTTTGAGTGTTGGAAATATTTATTTATTTATCCACCGTGCGAACACCCAGTCTTGTCACCTGCTCTAATATTAGTCTAGATAGTGACTCACTGGTCTCGTAGCCATTTTCTCGTATCGCTCGGGTCTCAGCGAGTCTAGCGAGATATTGAGCGCGGTGAGGCCGGCGCGCTGCAAGGCGGGTAGTTGTCGCGTCAGCACTATACTGTTGGTGGTCTAATCTAACCCGCTGTACTAACCCCCAGACTCATCCTAATATTAGTATAGACAGTGACTCACCGCTCTCCTGGCCATCTGCTCGTATCGCTCGGGTCTCAGCGAGTCTAGCGAGATATTGAGCGCGGTGAGGCCGGCGCGCTGCAAGGCGGGTAGTTGTCGCGTCAGCACTATACTGTTGGTGGTCTAATCTAACCCGCTGTACTAACCCCCAGACTCATCCTAATATTAGTATAGACAGTGACTCACCGCTCTCCTGGCCATCTGCTCGTATCGCTCGGGTCTCAGCGAGTCTAGCGAGATATTGAGCGCGGTGAGGCCGGCGCGCTGCAAGGCGGGTAGTTGTCGCGTCAGCACTATACTGTTGGTGGTCTAATCTAACCCGCTGTACTAACCCCCAGACTCATCCTAATATTAGTATAGACAGTGACTCACCGCTCTCCTGGCCATCTGCTCGTATCGCTCGGGTCTCAGCGAGTCTAGCGAGATATTGAGCGCGGTGAGGCCGGCGCGCTGCAAGGCGGGTAGTTGTCGCGTCAGCACTATACTGTTGGTGGTCTAATCTAACCCGCTGTACTAACCCCCAGACTCATCCTAATATTAGTATAGACAGTGACTCACCGCTCTCCTGGCCATCTGCTCGTATCGCTCGGGTCTCAGCGAGTCTAGCGAGATATTGAGCGCGGTGAGGCCGGCGCGCTGCAAGGCGGGTAGTTGTCGCGTCAGCACTATACCGTTGGTGGTTAAACCCACTGTTCGAACCCCCAGACTCGTCACCTCCTCTACAAATACATAGCAAATATTATAAAAGTTCTACTTTACGGTTTGTTCCCAAAGGCTGACAACTTAATAATACGCTTTTGCTGTCCGTTCGTCCGTCTGTCCGCGTTAGTCTGAATTTATCCAGACATGACCGGACTGTTATTTTGTTCTTTTTTAACTATTTATTTTTCGCAAAAAGGAAGTATAACAGCACGTCGAATCACATATTACCTTACAAGTCAGCTACACTCGCATTTTTATTTAAAGTCAATGTCTGGATTTTCATTTTTTTTAATAGTAACCCTAGACAGCGGGCTCTATCTCAGGAACATTAAAAGGTGTAGACAGTGGATTTTTTTCTTATAGGAGCTTGTATGCCGTGCTTCGGGAGGCACGTTAAGTCGTTGGTCCCGGCTGCATCAGCAGTCGTTAGCACAATTCGCACTGGGCCCGCGTGGTGGGTCATGGCCCAATCTCCCTATTCCAGCCATAGGGAAGGCCTGTGCTCCAACAGTGGGGACATTAATAAGCTGATGATGATGATGATGATGATAGGAGCTTTAATCCGGTAACATGGTAGCTCTCAACGGAAACAAAGCTTTTTATATGTTAAAAGGTTAGCAAACATGCATTTGACTCTCGTGATGGAAAGCGAGCACCATAGCCTTTAGACGCTTGCGATACAAAAAAATATTACTCGCGTCCTGGAGGCCTACTCTATTTCAACGAAAAACGAAATTTCGCACGTTCCTTACTATGTTTCTATTTCATTTCGAAAATTCGTTCGTCCGAAAATAGTTTGATATTTAAATTCTCTAAGCCTACTCTAATTCACAAAACTCTTAAATTAAAAATTGTTTTTGCAGATAATTGATCGAAATTTTAACCTCAAATTGACGAAATGAAAAGTGTTACCTTTTCGTTTTAGGATTTTTGTTAAAATTAAACCTAAAATTACTACTAGAGTATTTTTAATTAAGGCTGCTTAGCGTGAGGAACATATTTTAGCATGAAAAATTTACAAATAAATCACTCACAAACATAACTCATTCCATTCGTTCACGATAATTGTCTGTGATTCCGAACTTTGTGTGCGTGTTCGAAGATGAAATAGAGTAGAGTCACTAGCGAAATTTCGTTTCAAATTCGTTCGTTGCCGAAATTTCGTTTCGGAGAAATAGAGTAGAGCTCCTGGAACCTTACTCATTGACAGAAACACAACACCATCAAAAGGTAGTGTTATTTTACTGTGGTCTCCTGTAAGCTGTTTTCATCTAAGTATATTAAAAAAAAACCGGCCAAGTGCGAGTCAGACTCGCGCACCGAGGGTTCCGTACAAACCTCTAGGTATATTTTAATAATTATTAAAAAAAAATATTATAGGATGTAACTAAGAATTTACGGTTTTCGCAATTTTTCCTTTATCTGTACTATAAGACGTTACTTCGTACCAAATTTCAAGATTCTAAGTTCACGGGAAGTACCCTGTAGGTTTTGATTCCCGTGCGAGTTTCGAAAATTTGCGACATAAACGGCTGTATCTTTTGATTGCTTTGGCTTAGAAGTTTGATTTTTTCGCAGCTCCAAGGGACAGTACTCCTGAGTATATATATGAATTTCAGTTTGATACCTCTACGTGTTCCTGAGAAAAACGGTCTTGACAGACGGACGGACGGACAGACGGACAACAAAGTGATCCTATAAGGGTTCCGTTTTTTCCTTTTTAGGTACGGAACCCTAAAAACACCCACAACAGATCATGTAGTATACACAAAATATTGTATCATTTCATGAGACAAAGGACAATGGCATTTTCAACTTGTTAAGTGCTTCTTACAGCACAGGCATTGTATTCGAACTCAATCACCCATGTCTGTTAAGTATTATTAAGTACTAGCAAACCAGTGAACCAAATGTACACCAAAACCTGATTTAAAAAAAAAAACAAAAAATGTATTTAATTAATTGAGAACTTCGGAGATTTTGTGTGGTTTCGTTTGAAATTCGTGATTTCTCGAAAACCGGAAGTGCTACGTTACTCAAATCCGGTTTGTAGTCTTATCAGACTATTCTTAACTTATAACTTAAATATTCTCTTTATCTATCTCTTACGGTTTGGCCGCTGAAACAGCACCACATACGGACGGACTTGTCTAATAGATAAGAGATTTTGACGTGGTCGTCAGTAACTACGCCCGCTGATCATACATTATAAAAATCATTTTTTTTCGTCACTAATCTACGAGACCGGTATACTTCTATGGTTCTGTACCACGTATTTTTTATTTTGATCTAAAAATACTCTTTAAAATACTTTTATAATTAGTTTTTGTATTACTTGCTATGACATAACCTCCAAAACTTCAAAGTAGAATATCTATAAATCCAAACTTCCTATAATAAAAGAAATAAAACGAATTAAATCGAGAATCTAAACTCTATAGTTTAACACGTAATTCATTTATAGACGCAAAAAAAATTACAACAAAAAATTGTATGGGAGTTTGCCATTTTCCTTTGGGAATACTTAATAATAATAACAATAAAATCTTTATTTCTTTTTAACATATTCTACTAAAATTTTCAGTGATCGCGGTCCTCTGTTAAGCTAAAAAGCCTGTGTCTGGGGATACCGCTCCTTCATAAGCAATATTTAAGTATCTTTATGTAGCTGGTGTATGTGTGCGTGCATGCGTGTGTATGTGTGCGCGCGTGCGTGTGTTTGTGTGTGTACGTTCCTGTGTATAAGGTATGTGTGTGTGAGAGTGTGTATGTGTGTTATGATGTGAGCCTAATTTTAACTCTTTTTCTCTCGAAGTTATTTAACCTTCTCAAGTAACATTTCGATTTCTTGATAGGTTTTTGCTTGCAGCCACTATGTTAGTAAAAACTTACAAGTATGATAATTCTTATTGTATATATTTAGCTTTTTATTCAAATTAATGTACACAATTTAGAAAGTAGTATTGCATTTTCTTAAGTCGATCTTTTCCCTCCGGTTTGCTGCGTTTGTAGAACTATACATTAACATTTTATGCTTGCTTTATCTATACTTATAATAAATCTGTAGAGAGGTCAATTCTGTACATGAAATATATTTTCAAAATAACTATCAGGGGGTGATTAGTGATCGATACTGATGCCAAAAATGCAATCAGTAAAATTTTTGTCTGTCTGTCTGTCTGTCTGTGTGTATGTTCCTTATAGAAACAAAAACTACTCGACGGATTTTAACGAGACTTGGTACAATTATTCTTCATACTCCTGGGCAGGTTATAGTATACTTTTCATCACGCTACAATCAATAGCAGCAGAGTAGTGAAGGGAAATGGTGGGAAAACGGGAGAAGTTACTCCATTTTTTGAGCTTCCGTCGCGTGTGCAGCCTTAATGGTTAAAGTTACATAGAAATCATGTATGGCGAAAATATTCTACATAAAATTGTCTAAAAAATATCCCGCAACAGCATATGTCTATCTTATGGTTGACTCACAATAACACGTGTAATTATATAAACAAAGTCATTGTTTATAGCACAAGCCTGAGAACAAAAACTATAGTTTACACTACAGCTCTACACCGAAGCAAAAGCGAGGGCGAGGGCGGGCCACTAGTTAAGTAATAAATACAGTTTTCTTACTATAGGCAGACCACTGTTTCGATATAGCTCTTCAGTTGGGAACTTTCTTTATTTTGAATAACATAAACTTAATCAGATTTCGCCGGGCCCGTTCGGCTTCAAGGTAGCTAGTCTTTACAGCAGCTCCCCAAAAGGGTATGCAGTACATAATAACTGATGGTGCTATGGATATATAATTATCCTTTAACAAGTTTTCATCCATGGATCCTATATATATATACTAGCTGACCCAGCGAACTTCGTACCGCCCTAAAAAAATAGGGGTTGTCCAGCGGACAAAATTGTGAATCTAAACCATTCTCAGATCCCCTTGAATACACACAAAAAATTTCATCAAAATCGGTCCAGTCGTTTAAGAGAAGTTCAGTGACATACACACTCACAGAAGAATTATATATATAAAGACTAGCGGACCCGACAGACGTTGTCCTGTCTACACGTCTTTAATTTGAAAATTTCAAACTTTTTTTAATAAGCTAAAACATTCTGGACCATTTTGATGAAAATTTGACACTGCGATGGTAGCGCCATCTGTCGGATCCAATGTAAAACATTCCAAAATCAACAACTACTAATAAATTAAAAATTAATTAAAAAAACATTGTCCAGCGGACAAAATTGTGAATCTAAACCATTCTCAGATCCCCTAGAACACACACAAAAAATTTCATCAAAATTGGTCCAGTCGTTTAAGAGAAGTTCAGTGACATACACACTCACAGAAGAATTATATATATATGGAGATAGAAAGCTATGTTATTTAATACCTTCCTATCTCAATGAATTACCTAGTAATCTACAGGAAATTTATTCGAACATTGTATCAATAAATATAAATTTAAAAGACATTACTTACAAAATGGTCAACTTGAAAGTGTATAAAGTGGTAAATGAGTGGCTCCCATACACATATAAACCTTAACGGGTTTTCGTGTATGGTTTTTTTTTAATTGTATGTGTATGATTGTATTTGATAATAAAATAAATAAATAATTAGTTTTTTAAACTCTTAATTTTGAGCGGTTAAAAGTGTGAGTGAACTTTCAATATTGTGATTTGATTGACGAACCTCTTTAAGTGTCGAGTTAAGCTCACTAAGTTCCTTTGTTTGTTTTGTTGCAAGTGTTTCCAACATAATACGTATTTCTTCTTTATGATTTTTCATTCACTGATCGTATTGTGAGCTGTCCGATTGATGTGTTGTCTTTTGTACACGCCGTATGATGAAATTAGCCGGAGTTTTATCATCCTTAGAGAGACAAACTGAGATCTCTGAGTGAACCATATAATCATTCTGCTTCTCAGTCATGTTGGTACTTTCGTATGTTCGATTTGTATAGGTCGCGGCGCGTAACTCTAGCGCTGAACAAAACGCGGAGGAGATATCTGCGCATGGGTACGACTGGAGAGCCAATCGGCGCAACGTTTCCCCCCAAAACATCTTAATTTTTACTTTTGCGCAATAACGGTCAACGTTAGTTTCGTGCTGCGACCAACGATATTAAATACCCTAGATACACCACGTGCGCTCAAAATGTGTCCCAATCAAGAAGTGCTTGAACGCCACTCAAGCACTTCTTGGTTCACAGTCACGCGCGGACCGTCGGAAAGTCAAGATGCCGCGGAGAACCCTGAAAAAATGCGAAAAAACAATTTATAGTATGTGAAATGTCGTTTTTTCGACAGGTATCTAATCATTTTTTGTCAATTTAACGCATTTGAAGCAAATTTTGTCCTAATACTTACTATAAACTGATTTATATGTGAAATGTGAAATATTTGTGATATTCAAATGTATGGTTGGTTATACAGCCATCTCTTTTCCTCACGGTCCGTACCTCCTGTATTGCTAACAGCGCATTCAAAATTGCGCGTAGAGTCAAAGAAATAAGGTCTATATTGCTCCGCATACAGCATAAAGTCGTAAAATTTTACGAACTTGCATTTCGAACTGTCACAACACTTTGACGATTGCGTTTTAATTAAGATCTTATACAATAGGCATAAAAGGTGACTTTCCATGTTTAAATAATGCCTTATATTGTTTTTGACAACGCGATCATCTTACGGAGCTCCGTAAATCGTTCAATGTACCTTTTGGACAGGTTTCGGGCACGATTTTGTTCGTGTTGGTGTATCTAGGGTATTTAATATCGTTGGCCGCGACTAATAACGTTTCAATGAAATCTTAGCACTCATGTCGTAGCAATTCGTAGATACGGCTTCGTAGCACTGATCCGTATTGGGTGTTTATTTTTTCCGCTTAATTTCATAACCTCTTTTTTGTATGAGACGGCAATTTAACAGCGCGGATGCAGATGGAGCCCGAGAGGCGCAAGTTCGACTTATAGGCAATTGGTCCGAAGCCCAAACGGGACCCATCACTATTTATTAGTTCTCCTACAATATTTATTGCACAGTAACCAGACACACGACCACTCTCAAACGCCACGAGGGAAGAGGATACCCACCTACCTATTGTACAACCTAGTTAACTTCATGAATTAACATTTCTTTTGTTGACCGTAAAATCATGGGAACAGCTATGCACACACATTTTGTACAATCAACAGCACGTTAGGTTATCCAACTCAATCCAGTCTCCAACTGATAATTAACCAAAATTCGTTTGAAATAAGGCCCTAAATCTATTCAGTATATTTGACACCAAGTGACAAAAACATGTGCTTCTAAATGTGCAAATTATACAGTTGCGAAAAAAAATAAACAAGAAAAATACGCTATCAGAAACGACTTAAGTAATATGTGTGATAACTACTTTTAAATGCACCTAAATAATTAATATCCGCTTATTATACGTCAATCTTCAGTGCTATGTAAGGTGTTGTCATTGTCTGTCTACCTAGGTATGACATTTGTAAGTTATATTTGGCATATCATAACACATGAACTAGTAAGGACAAACTTATGTTATATGTGCATTGATGATTGGAAAAACGTAGGCAGAAGAAGTTTATTTCAGGGATTCTAGCATCATATTTGCGTGTATGGTACATACTTTCAATCACGAAGCAGAAGGAACACGTGTCACTGACAAAGATCAAGCTAGACGCACAAGGAATTATTAGGTCAGAAGGACTTTCTGATGGACCTAAATCGTATAATAACTAAGAATGCAAGATCTTGACGCAGCATGAATTCGACTTGTTGAGTCGTAGTTAGTCTACGCTCTGTGACACAAAGTGTCCAAAACTGAATTGACCTCACACTTTTCTAGGCCGTACTACTAATGAAGATCACCAATAAACACACAAGAATTCTTAAGATTCTGATGGGTTTTAAGCGCGTTATGGTCACGTATAATATTATAATAATATTTGATCCCTTCACACAATTTATATACAGTCAACAAAAATAACACATTATTTTCTTTGCCAATTAAGTCTCGAAACACATTGTCTACGTCCAGCGACACGAATAGTCGCAGCCAGCGCGATAATTCATCACATTAATTCAGAACGCGTTAATGACAAAGACCACGCCAGATGCATAAAAACTTAACCTAATATCCCCACTCACAGATATTGTAAGCGTTATCCAGAAAGAAATCATTTAGTTGAACAATTCTGACGTCTCTGATGATGTAGAGATCGTTTATACCCTGGGTTCCGAACCTGGGGGAATTACCCCTCCGGGAGTAAAACAGCCATACTACGGGGGTAACAAAGAACCTAATTATTTGATCAAATCTAAATAATAAGAAAATACTACATAATAATACTACTAAATAGAGCATGCGCTCCTTCTTGCTAGCGAGCCCGCGGGGTGCTGAGTGTGGGAAGCGGGGCAAGATTGATCCTGATGATGACATTATTAGAGACGAAGATGTAGCGGCACAATTGGAATTTCTTGGACTGATGATAACATTTTAAAGTCGGGGTAAAATCTGTTTTCCTAACAGGTTACAGGGGTAACAGTATTGGTAAGGTTAGGAAACACTGGTTCATACTCACGTATGATGTCAGCGAGGTCCTTCCGCAGCGTGGGCTCGCCGCCAGTGAGGCGCACTTTATCCACACCCAGTGACACGAACAAACGCAACGCTCGCGATAATTCATCCCGCGTCAGCAGCGCAGGGCGCGCCGACAACGGCGCTCCCTCAGGTGGCATGCAGTACTGGCCTGCGCGATACAACGCCAAGCTCACGTCTTTCATAGGTACATAGATTGTGAGGTCTGCGGGGTTGTCTAGCCTCAAAAATTTCTCATATTATGAGACTTAACATCAAGCCTTTTTGAGGCTAGTGTGGAGTAAAGACCTACACCTACCGATCTACGAACTAGACCTGTGAACAGTGTTGCCAGGTCTCCAGATTTTACAGGAAATCTCCTGTTTTTCTGGTTTTTTTCCTGTTCTACTGTTTTTCTACATGAATCTCCCGTTTTTCTTAGAATACGATTTTCTTTTTTAATTTGCATGTTGAGTTGCATTTTCGGCCATTAATAATGTAGGTAAAGTTATTAATTTTAAAATAAATGTTTTGTCTAAAAAAACTAGCTTTAAGGGGCGTTAGAAGCCACAGAAACATTCGTTACTGATCTTTATCTTGCCAATTCAAAAATGCAATGCAAATCGAAAAAAGTACGCCTCTGCATCTACTGTTTTTTTTTCCTATAACACCTCCCGATTTTTAAAAATCGGATCTGACAACGCTGCCTGTGAAGTTAAAATGCTTTTTGTTTCCATTAGCTATGGCAAAGAAACGCGCTGCTCCTGACTTCTTCTTCCATGACACTCTCATTAGGTCTGAGCTCCATTCCCTAACTCCTGAGGTCCTGAGCTCTGACTATTTTACTTCAGGACGTAACATACAGATATAATTATCTACGTTGAGTCCTGCATTAAAATTACTTCTGTAACATAATACTGTTATATAGCTGAATTGTTCTGTAGGGTTCGACAGCATGATTATATTTAACAGCAGCAGCTTTAAACAAATATACCGCAAGCATGCACATTTGACATTAATGAATCGAGTCTTAAATAGTTTTATAGAAATAATAGAGCCCATCGGCTACAATCATTGTAGAGATGACCCTGCATGTTGATTGGCTTCTATTATCAGCACGAGGATGTCAGCAAGTGGTACAAATAATATTGATCGAGAAAATGATCCATAAAGGAAAATCATTCTTGTTTGATTTAGATGGCAGCAAAATACAGCATTTTATCGTACATATTTATTATGGATCACAGTTGTTATTTTATGTTATGGATGTCTGATAAGCCAATAATGCACACGAGTGTAATGATCCAGACCACGAAAAGAAGTGACAGATAGAAAATACTTTTCTTGCTGAAGAAAAGAATATTAACTTCTTATTCATAAATAATTTGGGTTAGAAGTGGCTCTGCTTTGCAGCCTAAGAAATATTAGAAGAAATTAGACAAGCCCACGGGTTTCGGTAGCATATTCGCTCATGCGTACGCCTGGATAACGAAAGGCGTTGATTGAAGTTCAGCAGAGCCGTAGCCAGAGTTGTATTAAAGATAGGGCAGCGGTAATTACAGGTAGCAACCTGCCACCCCGTATTAAGGTGGACATTGCCCCCATAATGACCTCCCCCCCTCAAGTTCAGACTGGCTTCTGGGTCGAGCGTAATTTTCCATTTTTTTCTTTAGTTTTACTAAGGCCGTATACAGAAAGAAAACCGAAAGCCGATCGGCGCTTATCGGCGCCAATCCTTCCTACATAAAGGAAGCCGATTAAAGCAGAGCAAGCAAAATGTCGGACTCATCGGACGATGGTTTTGTTAGAAAATGTGTATTTTAAAATGCGAAAAAAGCTATACATCCTATAAATAGAGAAAGGAAACGTTTCGGAGAATACCATCATTTATTTGTAAAAAAAATGAAATTTGATGATCAAAGATTTTATACATAATACAAGAATGAGTCAAGAAACATTTTATTACATTTTGGATTTAGTGTATAACCGTTTGATGAAGAATTGGTGCAATTGGCATAAACAACCAATCCTTCCAGAAGAAAGACTTGTTTTCACCATTCGGTAAGTACGAAACAAATAATTTTAGCGCTTAGTTAATAAAAGATAAAGTTATTAGATTTATAAAAAGATTATAACTTAGATTGATTTAATCTAAGGATAATAATTCAAATACAAATTATTTGTTATTCGGACAACATAGATCATAATCACCAGCTGACCAGCGCGTGTCGGCGTTTATCGGCGCTGATCAGCGCGGTTCGGCTTTTTTTCTGCATGGGGCCGCCGTTCATAAAATACGTTCGCATACAAGGGGGGGGGGGGGGGGGAGGGGTCTTGCTAAGTGTGACAAGATGTGACAAGGGGGGACGGGGGGTCTACGGCAACGTGACGTTCGTCGTTTATTAAAAAAAAATAAATTAGTATTTCTTTCAACTATTTTTCTTTCTCAATTTTCATCAAGATAGAAAATCATTTATTTCGTATTTAGTAAACATATAGACATTCAAACGTATATAGTTTTATTATACAATAAATTGTTACTTGATATATTTACTCATGTTTATTTTTCGACATTAGCGCATATTTATATATTTAAATTCTATTATAAAAACTAAATAAATATTTAAATTCTTAAAATTTGTGTACTATCAATTGAAATTATTCATACTTGGGGAGCGGGGGGGCTCCGTTTTTGTGACGGAATATTTCAAGAGGGTCACAGAAAGTGTGACACAGCGTGACAATAGGGGGGGAGGGGGTCGGAAAAAAATGATTTTATCGTGACGTATTTTATGAACGGCCCCTATACGGCCTTATGAATGACTAGCTTAATAAGACTTACATCGTAGATTGCATCTTTCAGTGAGCGAGATGCGCAGGTAGTTGTGGCGACGAGCATGCAGATCCACGAGGGGCGCGCTAACGGCAGCTATTTCTTCGCCGGATACAGCCGCCGCCGCTGGAGCCAAGCAGCTTACCTGCACATCGCGCATCAGTTTTAATACTCCATAGGGCCGGATTTAGGATTGTGTAGGCCCCGGGCCACTTAGGATTTGTATTCTTGTTAACCCATCGAAATGTTGTTATTTCTTAAGCTGTTGTGGAGGCCCCTGGGCCACAGCCCCACCTGCCCTGCCTTAAATTCGGCCCTGCGGGCAAGTACCACCCCACTCAGCCATTAAGCGATTGGGGTACTCCCTCAAGATGGGTAGTGAATTGGAAGTGCTTATCAGGGCCATTTGAGATTTTGATATTTCACTGATTGCCTGATTGGAGTGAACAAATATAGATCAATGATTTCTGTTATTTAAGATTAATATAATCAAATAATCATGTATGTTAGATGTACAAAGTACTGTAGGTAAAGGTAAAAGAGCATAAAAAATATCAAAGGAAAAGCTGTTTACTAGTGTTTACTAGTTGGAATTTGAAAGATTTTTTTTCCGAAGTCTCTATTGTGGGGGCCCCCCGTTTATGGAGGCCCCGGGGCTTTCGCCCCGGTTGCCCTCCCCTAAATCCGGCAGTGATACTCCTGGCACAAGACCAGACCCTTTTATTTATTTATGTCCGAGAAAGGTGTCACGCCTTCCTCGCCACTAGAAGTTGTAGACGACGAGATGTGCGACTCATTTCCTTTCAGACAGCTTGAGGGCTCCATGAAATGAGCAACTCCCCACAAAATCCAAGACAATATTCCTACACTTCTCATCCGACACGCACTCTGAGGATCGAGGTCTCCTGAATGCGTGCCAAGATTGTGAGGTGGAACCACAAGAACGGTAGCGCTGTCCCACGGACCATCAAAACGCGATATGATAAAGCGATTTATCGACCATCACTATCAAAATACAATCGAGTTAAAAAGTTGAGTGACGATTAAATTCCTTATCATATCGCCGTGCTCATGCTAGGGGGGACTGGGGGTGTAAAATATTGAGATTACATGTTTCGTTTATCTATCATCATCATCATCAGCCTGTTAATGTCCCCACTGCTGGGGCACAGGCCTTCCCTATGGATGGAATAGGGAGATTGGGCCATGTACACCACGCGGGCCCGCATCGAGTTTGAACTCAGGACCCCAAGAGAAAGCGACGCCTTGAGACCAGGCGTACATACCACTCGGCCATGGAGGTCGTCAAAATAAATCCAGCATTGTTTCTTCCCCTTTAAAAATTCTATAATAAATGTCTGTTATTATAGAATTTTTAAAGGGACGACGGACGTTGTTAAATGAAAAGGATCCAACATTCCAACCCACAACCTTATCGAAAATTAGTTTAGTATACCAAAGTACTCTTTAAGCCTCCAATACTATTAAAACACGACGAAGATCCAAGTAAAATTTAAGTGTCTTATGATTTTGTAAAAATATAAAGTTGAGAATCTAAGAACAAATACAGTCTGAAAAAAAAATCATATCTCAAAACTAAGTTTGGTTGTGTCGGATCCTTTTCATTTAACAACATCCAAATGTCTGTGTCAGCATATTTAAACCCTTTATCCAAGTCTGCGGTCCCTTGAAGCTGTTCAAAAATCAAACATCTGTCTAAAACAATTTCTATATAATACTAGCAAACCCGGCGAACTCCGTTTCGCCACCAGATGGCTTCGTTTTATGTAACATTTCGTTTGGTGATTAAAAGAAGTTTTTTTTTAATTTTTCCTGAATTTTCTTTGCTATAAACCTCACGGAGCCCGAGACCTTTCCAACGAATGCAAAACCATGGAAATCGGTTCGTGCGTTCTGGAGTTATAGCGTCAGGAAGGAAAACCCGACTTATTTTTATATTTCTATATAATATAATTAACACCCAGCATGTCCCTCCTCTAGATTGCATATAAATAAATTTTTTTTTGAGAACTTAAATAAAAAAGTATACTGTTAAATTTATGTCTGTGTGTTTGAGATCGTATAAACTAAAACACTGAATTAAGTGCAAAGTATTAAAAATATACTTAAAGCTCACTGTATACAAAATAGTATTTGAATATCTATTATAAAAAAACAATGTGGCATCAATAATATAATTTATTAGTTATAGTATTTCGCTATTACAGTGTATTTGTATAATGCTGAATATTTTTGGCAAAAATAATTAGGTACTATCAACTTGTGGCGACCTTGATGAGCATTGTTGAGCAAAAGTAACCAGCAGGTGTTTTTAAAGCTAGTGAAAATTTGTTCTACGTACCCATGTCAAAGTTTGATTTTGTTTGAACCCAAAATTATCAATTTCATGCTTTCTGCTTTCACAGTCATACTTTAACATTGGTTTGCAGAATTCAGTTTTGCGGCTTTAAAAATGCCTGCCGGTCACTTTCTAATACCACTCAAATTGCAAGAAACAAGTTATGATATAGTTGAAACCAGTAGGTGTTTGACATGACAGATTCTAATTACTGGACATGGGCAAAACACAAAATACTGGTTATCACAAACAGAGCCCTCTTTCCCAGTGGGCACTTTGGGCAAGTGCCCAGAGCCCCGCGATCGTTAGGGGCGCAGGTGGTTAGCGCGTTGGGCTGTGATCGTTGTAGTTAAGCAACTTTCGCAGTGGTTGGTCATTGGATGGGTGACCAAAAATTTCTATCTCGAGTTCCTCCGTGCTTCAGAAGGCACGTTAAGCCGTTGGTCCGGTTGCATCTGCAGTTGTTAGCACCCGCCGATCCGCACTGGGCCCGAGTGGTGGGTCATGGCCCAATCTAATCAATTGTTTAAAACCTATCTTATAATAAATGGTAGAGAACCGAATACTATAACATAATTTGTTTTAGGACACATGATGAAACTGCTTATCATATTTTAAAACAGATTACAGTGCAATACCAACATAATGTTTAATTATTCATAAAAGTCAACCATAATTCTTGTCCAAAGAATAAATAAGATAATTGAACTATAAAAGTTGCAAGTAATCTTAAATCGGAAGCAAGCAAAAATGGAGGGTTAAGTAGTTTCTACTATGTAATAATTACACTTATTATTAAAATTACTCAGTTCGTACTTACATCACTGATAGACCTCCGGGTGAAGGTTACTGATGACCCTCCACCGGCTTCCACTTTTGGCACTAAAGATAAAAACTTGACCTTCCTTAAGTGAATACGCATGGTAGAGGATCGTAACGCGTACAACAAATCTAATGGATAGTTCCAAACTGACTGATGGTACTGTTTTGTGTATAATACCTATTTAATACTGCCAAAGGAAAGGAAACTCGTAGAGTTAGTAAACAACTTACGCACGAATGCACATACATACACATGTAAAACGTCACATTTGACATTGATATTTCTTTTTTTTTGTAGTTCTCCCTTTTTAGTGAAGGCAAAAGAATCAATGCCCATACAGCCTCATCTTTAGACAATGACATTAACAGTATTGTTTTATTGTTTTCCTTTTCCAGGAAAGCAAAGAAACTAAATCCCATACAGCCTCCTTAGTCTTATTTTATAGTTGTTATGTATATCTTATTAAAAGTGCAAAGAATGCTTAATTTAACAATCTACCCACAGTTTTTTTCTTATGACGGCACTTCACTTGGCTATTCGTATTTGTTATTTAAAAACTTGACAACAGTCTGTCCTTTCCTTTCCTTATAAATTATGATAAGGACAAACTGATGTCAACTTTATTATTAGCAAATACGAATGGCCAAGTTAAGTGCCGGTATTTGATATGATCTTATGAGTCGCGGCACGTTATGATGGCCGTTTGGCACATTACAACAACGAAAAAAATCCTATAAAATACGGCTCACATCTAGGTATTTAAAAATTTTTAGCAATATGTTGGCAATATAGTTGCTGATTGTAAAGATTGAATAAAACGAAAAGATACATTTTTACTCACGCTCAGCGATCCTATATGTAACAATCTTACATTTTGAATTTCAAACAACACAAATGACGAGTTTGGTGGTGAATAAGTAAACTATAATTTTAATATTATTTGATTATTATAACATTTCGTAATGATAATAAAAACTTAATCCTTTCAAAATAAATACTCAAATTTTGAGTTAAAAATTTTATTAGGTATATCTCATTGTTATAATCTTGAAAAGGTTTTCGTAACCTTAATAGAAGTAAGACCATGATTTTATATTGTTTTTATTTTAAACTTAAATTGTACTAATTTTAATTACTGATTCGATTCGAAATGTTATGACAAAATGCGCGTCTCTAATAACAATAATTGTTTCTTTAAATGTAGGACTAATTTCGATTCGAATTTGAGAAACTTTATGAACGTATAAACGTCAAAACCACCATAATAGCCTGCCGCTAGAAAAAAAAACCTATTCCATTAAAAGCATTTGTCTGTTAATCTGTCATTGCAACAGTCTGTTAAGTACCTAAACTGAAAATGGATTAGAGAGACTATTTAGGACAAATATCTTATGACTGAAGAAGTGGCTTCGGCCTTATAGAAAAAAAGAAACACAAAAACTTTTCAAATGAAGACTATGGCTGCATGGCTCTGCCTTTGCCTTACCCAACATGGAAAAAATGCAATCCACAGACTCTGTGGATTGCAATTTGCATCAAAACCCAAATGACCTAAAGGTCTTTGTTACTAAGTCATAAAATTAAAAAAAAAACAAAAACCAAAACAAATAGAAGACGCGTGGTCGAAATACGAAGAGATTTATGTAAAATAATATTAATTTCTGTGTGAAACGGAGAAAGCCACAATCACAAAAAAAAATATATAAATATATATATAATTTTGGATTTCGGTGATTTTGTACCGCAATCTATCTGAAATGGAAGGGTTTGTCTCACCAACTATCAATTCTGCACCAGCGGTAAGTATTTTCTAAGAACGCTAAAATAATAACATAACAATTAAATTTCTTTTGTGGTGGTTTAGGCAATGTCTTTGTGTAAATACTATATCATCATGAAATCCCTCATGACCAACGATCGACATTCAAATCTCTTGTAAGAATATGTTTACAATAATACACGTTTATTTACAATGTCATCTATTAAGAATGAGATTTTTCTAGTTTCATATAAAAAACACGTTGCGTTTCAGCTCTCACCCGAAGATATTTGTGAAAATGCTACAATATTAGATGAAGGCATAAGAGTAGGTATTAGGTAACAGTAGCTTGGCTTTTATGTTCAAAATAAAATATTTTGCCGAAGCATAAGCTACAGTAGAGTGAAATGCTATGTATGTTAAATTGTTTACAAATTCTTAATTATTATTTGAACATGATCAATATTTTTTTTTCAGCTATGTCCATTGTGTGCATCTGAAGTGAGACTGTTTTTCATTAATTTCAATGAGAAAGTTCAGATGTGTGAGAATGTGGAATGTGAGTATCCCTTTGGTCACGAAAATATAGTATATGTCAAGGAAGATAATGAGGCCCAGTCTGATGAAGAAGTAGCCAGTGTTAGGTCCAGGACAATAAGAGGATCAAATGCTACTTTATCTGTGGTGTCGACCACTGCCTGGTCGGAGATTGCCAAAATCAACCGAGTCTTTGACGCTGAGGATCAGCTAGACTCAAGATCAGAGACAAGAGAATACCACTTGCATAAACTAGATGACTGCAAAATTAAGAAGGAGGAAGATAAACAAAAGAAAATTCTCCAGCAAGTGGAAGAAATAAAAAATCTGAACAAGGAGTTAAATAAGCCCAGCGATGATTTATTTGTTAAGCCACAGATAAAAAATGAGAAATTTATTAAACACCTAATGTCCATGCAGACATTTTCCGGGGTGCCACTCTTGAAACCTGAAGAAATGAAATTGTTAGATACAAAGCAGCCTGTAATTGGTACAGGTGAATTGAAAATTGATATAAACATGGGAAATGATTGCAAAATGTCAACTGTTAAAATAGAGATTGCAAATTTAAATCAATAATATAAGAATCTTTTTTATCCTTAAAATAAAATGGATGGTTCCTTCATAAAATTAATTGGCGTTAATGGTACACATGCCACGGAATAAGAAGATTAACCATTGCCAGAATCATCTGATGCTATAGAGTGACTCCAAAGACTGACTTCCATAAAGAAGAAATATGTTTTTTTATAGTATATTTTATATAAAGTTTAAGTTCTTATAAGTAATGTATTTATAATACAAACTGATTAGGGCCGTCCATTAATCACATGATGTTTTTTTGGTATTTTTTAACCCCTTTCCCCCTTGGTGATATGTGGTGAGGTTTAAGACTACCCCTCTGCCCCTATATCACGTGTATTTTTTACTACTCCCAAAGAATCTTTTTTTTTGTATACAGGTATAAGTATCATCTAATTTTATTATAGAAAATTAAAGACTACCAATAATAAATTACTTAGTTATTACGACAGAAAGGTTGCAGGTTGTTTTGACTGACATAAAAATAATGAAAGAAAATCTAAAAACTCTTTTGGACTAATACATGAACATTAATAAATGTACAGTATCCACCACGGAAATACATGTGATATCGCACATTGATAACAAGAGTGACACTAAGCAAAAAAGCTATATTTCAGTAGAAGCATTTAAAGTTGTACCAAACAGTACCCTTGTGATATTTCGTGATTTTTTATGGACCCCTCCCCCCCTTGCGAGCCTCACGTGATTAATGGACAGCCCCTTAAAAGGTGTATAAATGTTCACTATTTACTATTTTATGATCACATAATAATTATATGTTTTGAATCTTATTGAGATGTGGTGCTGGAGAAAGATGCTCCGTATCCCTTGGACAGCATTCCGGACTAACGTCTCCATATTTTGTGAGCTCAAAATCTCACTATCATCCGAGTGTTTGCGCAGAGTCCTTGAGTACTTCGGCCACATTGCAAGGAAGGACAGTGACAACCGCGAGAAGCTGATTGTGACCGGCAGAGTAGAGGGAAAAAGACCGCGTGGAGGCAGCCCAATACGTTGGTCTGATCAGATTCGCACCGCTCTAGACTCGACAGTCCACAATGCCCTCCACACCGCCAAAGACAGGAACAGATGGAAGACCATCATAAGGAAGAAAGTGATGCAGAAGGGAGGTCAGGACCCTCGGTAATGAGGAATGCGACTCAAGGAGGATTTTTTTTTTGTATATCTACTATAATCTGTTTATTTGTTATTTAAAATTTATTTTACAGAGCTTTGTCTTTTTTGTTCATAGATTATATTATAGTTACATTTTTCAGATAGTTTTTGTTATTATTAATTAGTGAGTGCTCATGACTGCTGATGCAGTGGGGACTGCATTAAAAAGTTTTTTATTACTATGAACTTAAAAATTTTAATGAGGAGATGAGGAGGATGATAATCATTTATAATTACCTGAAAAAAACCTTTTGTGTTTGCTATAGTTGCTCTATTATGATGTAATACAGATTAATTATTAACTAGCGGCCGCGCGCAACATTGTCTACGTTAACTTTAGTTTTTATAGAATCGCTAATAGTAATTTTTTTGGGATTGAAAGTACAAATTCGTTTAGCCGTTTCCCGATTTAATCAAGCCTCTGAGTAAAATAATATTCATTTGACATTGTGAGTTACCTACAATGCGAAGAGATGGCGCTGCTTTGTAGCTCATGAAACAGAGAAAATTCGACATAGCCATTAGGGCCGTGGTAGTATAAAGGTCAGTGCATCCGCCCGAATAGCGGAGGGTGGACAATCTAGGGTGCACGGCGCGGCGCACAGTGGGTGAAAAAAAGAGGTCCCCTTTCATAGGATTTTTGAAAAAATAAAAATGTATATTATCCGTTTAAGGTATGCGGTTTTATTGGACATATCAGTACATTGAATAATAAAATAGTTTGGGGAATTTCCTTTTAATCTAACACCATAAAGCACGGGCTTTAGAGTTTCAAATGTATGAAAACGGAATTTGTTTTGCTCATAACTTGTCTCGGTCTTCTACGGTCAAGCTGAAACTAATAGGGATTATTACCGGGTCTGTTACGAAGCCATGTGACCTTTGACCTTCACCCCGGACGGCCCCGTTCAAAAGATACGAATTTTTCAAAATGCTTATTAGGGTAATTTTGCTTTACGGGGTTATGTGTAGGGTTGCAACGATATATCGAGACCAAAATATCGATATTTAAAATTCACTGATATCGATAATATCGATATCGGAAATTCCAAAATATCGATATTTCGTAGACTAAATTTAAACACAATAATATCAATTAATTTACCTGCTATGACTATCTAAATTGAATAATATCGAAATAACTATTGCTTTGAAATCGCAAGAGCTTATAGATGTATTAAAAAAATCTTGAACCCCAAGAAATAATATACTAAACTGGT